CAAGCCAAACAAATTTTAGACAGAGAACAGGAAGATGAGATGCAATGTGAGAAAATAATCATAACCAGTGAGGAAGAAATCATAGCAAATTATAAAGGTAAATACAGATCTCATTTACAGATACAAAAGTAATAATTTCACAATGAGATTGGTCTATTCCAGACAGGTTTTTCTAAATCCTACTCCTATAACTCATGATAAATTCAGTAGTGATTCTACAAAAATATGAAAGACTAATTGACCTAACAAGTGTCAATGCTGAGGCATTACATCAAGACCTTTGGTGAATGGGAAATTTTACTGCCCTAAAAGAATGGTTCTAACCACTTCCCCAGAGTAATGGACCTCTGCAAGTTACAGGAAAAGTCTTGAAATCTACATGGACATCAAGCATTGATTGCTGGACCCACTATATTTATTTTAAAATCATACAGATGCTGAGATTAATAAAATGATCAAGTTAACTTTAAAAATTATTGGCCAGAATATTGTTACTGTCTCACTTAATGGATATTAGAATATACAATTTCTATGAGGTGAGAGGGACTATAACATTAAATAATGTTAAAAAGGAATCTACTGGGCACAGTGGAGCAAACCTGTAATCCCAGCAGCTTGGGAGGCTAAGACAGGAGAATCCCAAATTCAAAGCCACCTCAGCAACTGCAAGGCGCTTAGCAACTCAGTGAGATCCTGTCTCTAAATAAAATACAATAGAGCTGGGGATGTGGCTCAGTGGTTGAGTACCCAGGTTCAATCCCTGGTACCAAAAAAAAAAAAAAAAGGAATCCATATATTCCAAAACAATGGGAACAACTGCCCTAAAGCTTTTCACATTCCACATACAATCTTTCACATTCTAAGAGAAAATTACTGTAAGGTTAAATAGGCACTTTTCCCATGCTGGTACTTATACCTAGCTGGTAGTATGGCATGGAGGAGAGAAAAGACTTGGGATTGAAGTCTTGACTGTTTTACAACTAGGTATCAAACCATAAATGAGACACTTCTACAAGCTTCAAATTCTTCACTTAAAATAATGGACCTTCACTTAAAGAAAAAAAAAAAAGAATACAAAGAGAAGGGAGGAGGAATAGGAAAGATAGTGGGATGAATCTGAGAGAACTTTTCTTTGTACATATATGAATAGACCACAGTGAATCTCAATACCATGTGCACAAGACAGGGATCCTAATTAGAATCATACTTCATTGTGTGTGTATCAAAATACTTTTATTCTGTCATGTATAATGAAATTTTTTTTAAATGAGGCCGATTCTACCTCCCCTAAACACTTAAGAGCTGTTATAAGATAATACAAGAATAGAAATTAAATTATTAAGTGTATTTGTGACAGAATCATCATTCTATATAGTAAAATGCACAGAGGTAGTGTGCAGAAATGATTAAGTTCTTACTGCCATAAATGAACCTGAATGCCAAGCTAAAGACTATTTCATAGAAAATAAAGAACCATAGAAAGATTTTACCATAGTGGGTGAAAAAGGTGGGGATAAAATGGAATGCAGGGTTCTGGTGGGGCATGTGTTTGTATATGAAAACCAATTAGCTAATAATTAATACTTTCAAAGAAAGAAAGTATTAATTATCTAAGAAATAATAAAGAAACCTAATGGATGTATAATATAAAGAACCAGAGGCTGTTCTAACAGTCCAACTGGAAGATAAAAACTTGGGCTTACAGCAATGATAATAAGAAATGAGCTGACTTAGTCATTGCAAAAGGATTTGAAAAATCACACATAAAAGGAGAAGGGAAGAATTTTATGCAAAGTAGATAAATAGTAACCCAAGAAAATATTTTGTTATTGAAAAGGGTTCAGGTAAGATGTGTCAAATTTGAAATGTGTGGACATATTCAAGTATTTTATGTCCAAAAGGTATGAAATGAAACCTTAGAAAAGGTGGCAGGTTGCAGTGTATAGGTAGGTATAAGTATGAAGCTAGGTAAAAGTACCAGCATGGGAAAAGTGCCTATTTAACCTTACAGTAATTTTCTCTTAGAATGTGAAAGATTATATGCGGAATGTGAAAAGCTTTAGGGCAGTTGTTCCCATTGTTTTGGAATACATGGATTCTTTTTTTTTTTTTTTTTCTTTTGGTACCAGAGATTGAACCCAGGTACTCACAGTAACTTGGGAGGCTAAGGTAGCAGGACTGCAAGCCTGAGGCTAGCTTCAGCTACTTACTGAAGCTCCAAGCAACTTAGTGAGATCCTGAGATTCTCTCTCCAAAAAAAGGCGGGGTAGGGAGATGTAGCTCAATGGCAAATCACCTCTGGGTTCAATCCATAGTACAAAATGGAAAAGGAATAAAAAGTGTACCTAGAGGGGCAGATCTGGAGTCAATTATTTAAGATGACCGAAGATGAAAGAAGAGTGAGAAGAATAAGGGAGTGTTGAATAAAGAATCTGGAATATCAGAACAATAAGTAGAAGTAAAATCAGAGGAAGAGGATAAAAGAAATATGAAAATGATAGAACTTATTATAAATGCTATAACTTATAGAAATATTAAAAAATTAAATTAAAAATGTTTAAGATTGATATTTGACTTAGAACAAACTAAGAAGGGGCTGATATTGTGGCTCAGTGATAGAGCATTTGCTTTTCACTTGTGAGGCACTGAGTTCCATCCTCAGCACTACATATAAATAAAGGTATTGCATCCATCTACAACTAAAAACATTAAAAAAAGAAGAAGAAACTAAGGAGACAGTTTAGAGAACACTTTTTTAAATTTTATTTTTATAGAAACACATTTTCCTCTAATGAAAAATTCTGACTTCCCTTCTCCAATCTCCCTCTAGTTGAAACCGTCTTAAGTCCCATGTCACAATGGTGTTGAAATAAGAGTAGTTTGAAGGTGACAAGAGGATGGGTACCAGAAGACAAGAGAAAGTAATTTTTTGGAGAGAAGGAAGATATTTGCTTTGGTTTTTATTATAGTCTACAGACGCCTAGAAGTCATGACAGCATGACTATACTTTCAATTTTTATAAAAATGGTAAAAATAAACATCAAAAGTCTTAACAGCTTTTTGTCCACAAAGAATCTTTAGAACTCAAGGAATCAGTATTCATTTAATCCTATACCTTGAAACAATTTTTTTTAAAATATTTATTTTTTAGCTTTAGGTGGATACAATATCTTTATTTTATTTTTATATGATGCTGAGGATCAAACCCAGTGCCTCACGCATGCCAGGTAAGCACGCTACTACTTGAGCCATATCCCCAGCTCCGAAAACAATTTTCTTAATAGCACAATACAATAACTGACTTCCATTTACTCTCTTCCATGACCAATTAAAAACAACTATCTTTGTGTGATATATTCTGTTGAAAGTAGCAATGAAATATAATTTTCCAGGGCTAGGGCTGTAGCTCAGTGGTGGAGCACTTGCCCTGCATGTGTGAGGCACTGGGTTCAATCCTAGCACCACACACAAATAAATAAAGGTATTACGTCCATCTACAACTAAAAAATATTAAAAATGAAAAAAAAAAGAAGTATGATTTTCCTCAAAATAGCACATTTTAGTACCTAACAAGTTGAATTTCGGGTTATCTAGGAACTACTTCCTTTATTTAGTTCATTTCCCAGAACATCACATTAGTTAGCATATTAGAGAAAGTTGGCATTAAATCTTATTTTAGCCAGATCTCACAATCCTCAAATTTAAAAACTAAATATTTTATTATAGTAATACTCTGAAGAAAAAGTACTTCTAGTAACTCATTTATCCATCTTACCAAGCCACAAACCTGAAAGTCTCCCTTTCTGTAACCTCCAATTAATCACTGACCAATTAAATACCTCTTCTGCCATAAGGTCTTGCTTCACCTTGGGCCTATAGCACAGCTGGCTGACTATTGACCTCTGAAACCGTGAGCCAACATAAACTTTCTCTTCTCTAAATTGTTCCTGTCAGGTATTTTGGTCTCACCAACACAAGGCTGACTAACAGACATCCAGCCTGAAGAAGGAACTTGATCAAGACTTAAAAGAATTATTTTGTTGTCTACACTTGTAGACTAGTCAGCGTTCCAAGAATTCAGGCTTACAAGTTCCTGGCTCCAGGACCAGAGGATGCCCTTTATCCAAGGACTACCAAGATGACTCCAGCAGTGCTGAGTATCCCTCAACATGCTTGGGGACCTACTAATCAATCAGGGATACATTTTAAAAAATTCCAGAAAACCAAATGAATTGTGCTTAAAGCTTTATCAGTGGAAATGTGATCTCAACTAGAGAAAGATGAGGAACAGATATCTGGAAATACAGTTGACCCTCAGGATCCATGGGAGACTGGTTCTAGGACTTCCTGTGGACACTTAAATCCACAGATTCTCAAGTCCATATATAAAACGGCACAGTGTTTTCATATAACTTGCCCATATCCTCCCATACACTTTAAAACATCTCCATATTACTTATAATACTTAATACAATGATATATAAAAATAAATTAAAATGTTCTTCTACTACCACCATACCTTGTCATTAGGTCATTAACTGTGTCTCAAATCATAATGATCAGATTTTGAGCTGATAAATACATATTTAACAACTGTTAATGTACTATGCTTTTGTAGATTGCAAAGACAGCATGTCAATGTAGAATCAAGGACACACTCCTTTCCAGTAAGAGCACTTGCCTGTTTAACATGCTAGTCAATGACCCGATTTAGAAAAAAGTGCCCCCAATTAGTATAAAATGCTAAATTCTCCCACAACTCAGAGTCTGGTTAGATTTTCAATCCCTTCTATGCTAAAATATATGGAAAAGCACAAGGCAAGAAAACCCTGATCCCAATAAGTAAAAAGTTGATAAGATATTTATTATATTACGAGTAAGATAATGAAAGAATGAATCCACTCACATTTATAATGAGTTTCTACTTGGTCAAAAATCGCTATTCAGTATTTTGCTATAACATAAAAATACATTAGAATTTTAAAAAGCAAGGCAATTACCTGAGGAGAGTCAAAAGGATATCGACTACTAAATTTAAATAGAAGTTGAAATTTTTCCCCTTCATATAAGGTACCTGGTGCACCTTCCATGTCTACAATCCACCTAGAATAAAAAAGACAAATGTAAAACTTAAAATAAAAGGGACTACAGTAAGAAAAGGAAAAGGAACACTGAGATGCCACCTACTGGGACTAGAGTCATTTTTATTATTATTATTATTTTTTTTTTTTTGGTGGAGTTGTCTTTTTTGGAACTGGGGATCAAACTCAGGGCTTTGTAAATGTGATGCCTCTGAGCTACATCCCAGCCCTACTGAAATCAATAAATACTAACAGTGCATTTTATCATCCTAACAACTTTCAGAGTGGGTTTTTTTAATTTTTTATTGTTGGTTGTTCAAAACATTACAAATTTCTTGACATATCATATTCCACACTTTGATTCAAGTGGGTTATGAACTCCCACCTTCACCCCATACACAGATTGCAGAATCACATCAGTTACACATCCATTGATTTACATATTGCCATACTAGTGTCTGTTGTGCTCCACTGCCTTTCCCATCCTCCACCATCCCCCCTCCCCACCTCTCCCCTCCCCTCCCCTCCTCTCTCTCTACCCCCTCCACTGTATAACCCTGAGGGTCTCCTTCCATTTCCAAGCAATTTCCCTTCTCTCTCCCTTTCCCTCCCACCTCTCCTCCCTGTTAAATGTTAATCTTCTTCTCCTGCTCTTCGTCCCTACTCGGTTCTTAGTTACTCTCCTTATATCAAAGAAGACATTTGGCATTTGTTTTTTAGGGATTGGCTAGCTTCACTTAGCATAATCTGCTCTAATGCCATCCATTTCCCTGCAAATTCTATGATTTTGTCATTTTTTAATGCAGAGTAATACTCCATTGTGTATAAATGCCACATTTTTTTTATCCATTCGTCTATTGAAGGGCATCTAGGTTGGTTCCACAGTCTTGCTATTGTGAATTGTGCTGCTATGAACATCGATGTAGCAGTGTCCCTGTAGCATGCTCTTTTTAGGTCTTTAGGGAATAGACCAAGAAGGGGAATAGCTGGCTCAAATGGTGGCTCCATTCCCAGCTTTCCAAGGAATCTCCATACTGCTTTCCAAATTGGCTGCACCAATTTGCAGTCCCACCAGCAAATGTACAAGTGTACCCTTTTCCCCACATCCTCGCCAGCACTTGTTGTTGTTTGACTTCATAATGGCTGCCAATCTTACTGGAGTGAGATGGTATCTTAGGGTGGTTTTGATTTGCATTTCTCTGACAGCTAGAGATGGTGAGCATTTTTTCATGTACTTGTTGATTGACTGTATGTCCTCCTCTGAGAAGTGTCTGTTCAGGTCCTTGGCCCATTTGTTGATTGGGTTGTTTGTTCTCTTATTGTCTAATTTTTTGAGTTCTTTGTATACTCAAAAAAATAAAATAAAATACTTGGGAATCAACCTAACAAAAGACGTGAAAGACTTATACAGTGAAAACTACAGAACCCTAAAGAGAGAAATAGAAGAAGATCTTAGAAGATGGAAAAATACACCCTGTTCATGGATAGGCAGAACCAACATCATCAAAATGGCGATATTACCAAAAGTTCTCTATAGGTTTAATGCAATGCCAATCAAAATCCCAACGGCATTTCTTGTAGAAATAGAGAAAGCAATCATGAAATTCATATGGAAAAAATAAAAGACCCAGAATAGCAAAAACAATGCTAAGCAGGAAGTGTGAATCAGGCGGTATAGCGATACCAGACTTCAAACTATACTACAGAGCAATAGTAACAAAAACAGCATGGTACTGGTACCAAAACAGGCCGGTGGACCAATGGTACAGAATAGAGGACACAGAAACCAATCCACAAAACTACAACTATCTTATATTTGATAAAGGGGCTAAAAGCATGCAATGGAGGAAGGATAGCATCTTCAACAAATGGTGCTGGGAAAACTGGAAATCCATCCATATGCAACAAAATGAAACTGAATCCCTTTCTCTCACCATGCACAAAAGTGAATTCAAAATGGATCAAGGAGCTTGATATCAAATCAGAGACACGCCGTCTGATAGAAGAAAAAGTTGGCTATGATCTACATTCGGTGGGGTCGGGCTCCAAATTCCTCAATAGGACACCCATAGCACAAAAGTTAATAACTAGAATCAACAAATGGGACTTACTCAAACTAAAAAGTTTTTTCTCAGCAAAAGAAACAATAAGAGAGGTAAATAGGGAGCCTACACCCTGGGAACAAATCTTTACTCCTCACACTTCAGATAGAGCCCTAATATCCAGAGTATACACAGAGTGGGTTTTTGATAACCCCTCCCTAACACCATTCTCTGACATTCCAGAGTTAAATACCTAAGTCAAGGTCAGATGGCTAGTCAAGGACAGAGTCACATTTTAACCCATGACTGAAAAAACAAAAAACCAAACTCGGGTGTATGGACACAAAAGCCTGTGTTATGCTCTTCCTACTAGATTTATACTAACTCACTTTTTTCCTAAGACCTTTTTTCTTCTTTTTTGGGTACTTGGGATTTAACCCAGGGGTACTTAACCACTGAGCTACATCCCAGCCCTTTTAATTTTGAGACAGGGTCTCACAGAGTTGCTGAAGCTGGCCTTGAACTTATGATTCTCCAGTCTCAGCCTCCCAGGTTGCTGAGATTATGGGAATGCACCTTTCTGCCTGGCTGTTCAGAAGACTATTTCTAAAGTAACTTTATAGATAATTATAGATAATATCAAACTAGTCAACTGCCTTTCTGATGTCAATGTTAGAAGCAATGGGGGATGGAGGTAGCAACAATGAGTACAGAGAATTATGGCTTTGAGTTTTATTTTCTCATCAGTATTCTTAAAAAGACTGAATGGAGGAAAGTAAGCTGAGTTGAGATGAGTCTACTTAGTCTGATGGCTGAAAGCCAAGTCTCTACAGCGACTTTTCTTTATCTCTCAATGTTTTCGTTGTTTAATAAAACCCAGAAAAAAAAATTCTACGGGGTGCTGGGGTTGTGGCTCAGCGGCAGAGTGCTTGCTTCGCACATGTAAGGCACTGGGTTCAATCCTCAGCACCACATAAAAATGACAAACAAAATAAAGATATTGCATCCGTCTATAACTAAAAAATATTAAAAAAAAATTCTATGGTATCTTTCCAACCTTAGTTTTCATATATAACAATAAATCTGTTTTTATTGATATAAGAATAACATAACACTAATACATTAATATATTAACATAAACCTGTTTTTATTTATATTCTAAATACTACCTCTTTTTTTAAAAAACTATTTTTTTTCTGATTGCATATAAAGTAAATTCACACCAATTCGTGTCTTCATACATGTACTCTGGATAATGATATTCATCACATTGCACAATCATTTCTCAGTACCATATGTGGTACTGAGGATCAAACCCAATGCCTGACACATGTGAGGTAAGCACTCTAACATTGAACCACAACCCCGCCCCCCACTACCTCTTTTTTTTAAAGGAGGGAAGAGGAAATAAAGATGGCAAAGATGATAGGGCAGTTGTAAAAAGAAAAAGTGAAATGATGTCATTAAGAATGAGTTCCTAACTAGAGAGACACAGGAGTATACTCCTGCAATCCCAGCAACTGGGAAGGCTGAGGCAGGAGGATCCTAAGTCTAAGGCCAGTCTGGGCAACTTTCTGAGACCCTGTCTCAAAAAATAAGGATTGGAGATGTGGTTCAGTAGCTGAGTACCCCTGGGTTCATACACACACACACACAAATGAGTTCCTAATTATAGCTCTGTCATGTATTATTTATTGTAATCAGTCAACTCCTTCCCCCCCCCATATATTTTATTGGTACATTATCCTTACACATAATCATAGGATTTGGGGGCTGGGGATGTGGCTCAAGTGGTAGAGCGCTCGCCTAGTATGCATGAAGCACTGGGTTCGATTCTCAGCACCATATAAAAACAAAGATATTGTGTCCACCTAAAACTAAAAAATAAATATTAAAAAAAAGATCAATAGTTATCACAGTAAAAGTCAGAAGATTTACTACTCTTTAAAATAGTAAATATGCCTATTCTCTGAAAGAAATCAGCTAAAGCATATAAACTCTTAAGAACATGGATATTCATTTTCAGAATGAATGCTGAATACCCGAACTATAAAAGAGACATTTAGCTCAGTATTATTAGGAATAAAAACAACAGCAAATATACAAAACAAAAATTAGCACATTCATAACATCAGAACTGGTACACAGTTAATTAGATGCAATGCAAAAGTTGTGTACAGCCGGGTGCGGTGGTGTACACCTATAATCCCAGTGGCTCAGGAGGCTGAGGCAGGAGGATCAGGAGTTCAGAGCCAGCCTCAGCAACTTAGTGAGACTGCCTCTAAGGGGATGTGGTTCAGTGGTTAAGCACCCCTGGGTTAAATTCTCAGTACAAAAAAAAAAAAAAAAGCTCTGTATAAAACAAAAAACTTGCTGCAGCCTCAGTCATAGAGCCCTTGTGTGACACTCTGTATTCTATCTCCAGTACAGCAAAAAGGAAAATAAAACTATTCTCTTTATGAAATAGGATGATCTTAGTCTTCAAAATTCTCTTTATCCACTCCCCATGTCTATTAGGCAAAGTTACTGCAATGAAAAATTAGAAAACTTTCTGGTGCTCTTTCATTCTTTATATAAAACAATTTTTAGGACACACAATGTACCATAAATTTACTTATGATTTAAACAAGCCAAGCTTTTTAAATAATATCTAAGCAAATATGTATTAATCAGGTAATATCTGTACATGGTAGGGGAAAGGCCATGTACGATTTTGTACATAATTTTGTCTATGGAAATTTTAATAACTTTTTACTAATTTATAAATGACATGCTCATTATGGAAAATTTAGGAAAAAAAAAGAATAATCACCCTAGATAACTATTAAAGTTTTTTTTTGATAAATTTCATTCTAATCATTTTGCAGTTTTCTATTTTCTACATCATTGATGCCTACATAAAATGAAATCCAGTAGCTGCATTATGTGCATTTATATAAATTGAAACCATGAGTGTTTAAGATTCCCAATTATGAGCATAGGCTTGGAGTAAGAATGCAATGGGAGAGCATGCTATTCTTTCAGTCTCAGCACTTAAATCTGTATGAGTACCTATTAATCTGTAACATTTAAACATTAGAATTTGGTATTTCTCCACATATACTAGCTCCTAATCAAAGAAAGAGCTATCCTACTCTGGAGGGAAAATTGGCTTTGGTGGAGTAAGACAGAATACATGTCAATACATCCTAAGAAATTTTCAAAAGTAATCATGACTACCCAAAACTTTGCCTAACATGCTGACAAGACTATAACTCAAGTAATGTTCTTGCACTGCACTATAAACCCTTTCTGTATTATCAACATTTACATTGTTTCTAAGTTATCCTCCAAATTAGAAATATTGACAAGAGTTATAAGTAAGGGCTGGGGATGTGGCTCAAGCGGTAGCGCGCTCGCCTGGCGTGAGTGCGGCCTGGGTTCGATCCTCAGCACCACATACAAACAAAAATGTTGTGTCCGCCGAAAACTAAAAAATAAATATTAAAAAAATCTCTCTCTTTAAAAAAAAAAAAAAGAGTTATAAGTCAAAAATTTTTTTCTATATCTCTGTTCCTCAGAGAAGTGATGCATTTTACTAGATCTAACAGTATTACATGCATTTTTTAAAAAGGATTTTTGTGTGTGTTTGTTGCTTTATAGACAGAACCCAGAAACCAAATCAGCTGGGCATGGTGATGCTGAGGCAGGAGGATCAAGAGTTCAAAGCCAGCCTCAGCAAAAGTGAGGCACTAAAGCAAGTCGGTAAGACTCTGTCTTTAAATGAAATACAAAATAGGGATGGATATGTGGCTCAGTAGTTGAGTGTCCCAGAGTTCAATCTCCAGTACCCCCCCCCCCCAAAAAAAAAACCCAAATCAAAGATTTTGTTAAAAAAAAAAAAAAAAAAAAGGAGCTGGGGGTATAGCTTAGTGGTAGAGTGCCTGCCTAGTATGAATGAGGCCCTGGGTTCAGTCAAGCCCCAACACTGCAAAAGAAGAAAAGAAAAAGCTTTACAAATTATGTAACCATATGTATATTGTGACATAATTATGTAAAACAAAACTGATTAGGTATTTAAATGCAAGGAATAAAGTTTGCTTATCTTGTTAAGAGAATGGGATAAATTAAAATAATTTGATATTTTTAAAAGCTAGTATAACTGGGCACAGTGGCACATGCCTGTAATCCCAGGGGTTTGGGAGGTTAAGGCAGGAAGATCATAAGTTCAAGACCAGCCTCAGAAACCTAGTGAAGCCCTAAGCAACAAAACAACAACAAAAAAGGGCTGGAAATGTAGCTTACTGGTAAAGTGCCCTGGGTTAAATTTCCAGGACTAAAAGAAAAAAAAAAGTATATATTCATATACCATACTAACAATAAAAAAAAGTACTTTAAAATTTAAGTACTGGGCTGGGGATATAGCTCAGTTGGCAAAGTGCTTGCCTTGTATGCACAAAGCCCTGGGTTCAATCCCCAGCACCACAAAAAGTAAAATAAAATAAAATTTAAATACTTACTGTGTAATTGAATTTTGAACACTCTTTTCATTTAAAGTCATCCCAGGAGGTGGGTCATTTTGCAAAGCCAACAATTCTTTCTGTAGTCGTTTCTAAAAAAGATTATCAATAGCAATTTGTATTTTATTTTTAACAATATAATTTCTTTCTAGTTATACAGTCTGAAATTACTGATCAAATATCCTCCAAATGTTCATATATCATCTTTACAAATCCCTTATATCTTCTATATATCTTATACATACCTAATTCTCAAAACCTGAATGGTCTGCCCTGCAATTCATAATCTAATGTCAGAATATTTCAACACCAATTCTGTGAAGTTCTGAAGAGCAGTTACTTACAAAAACATCAATTCCATAGCTACTCTATGAAAATTATAAAGTTTTAACAGTCTAGATATTCTCCATAATCCTTAAAGAATATATCATCTCAGACAGGCTTTCCAGAGAAACATATTAAACCTCTTGTAAAAAAAAAAAAAAACTTTTGAAAAATTTAAAAATTATTTATGATCTAATAGCCATAATTATTTTCTTAAATAGGATCATTTGCACATAATCTTCTGATTGTTATGTTGTTTACTACACAACATTAGAATATAACATATCTAATGGCACAGATATGGAATATGGATTTTGCATTCTCATTTGTATAGTTTTCACTCTGTATCTCTTCCCTTGATACCATTAATAAACATACTTCTTCAATGTATAACAAAGCAAAAAACCAAAAACCACATCAGTCCATAGGTTATGGGTTGAAAGTTCACTTTCAAACTTGAATTGAAATAACAGCAGTGGGGATACAGTTCAATATCAGAGTGCTTGTATAGTATGTGCAAGACCCAGCATTAAATCCCCAGCACTGGAGAAAAACAAAACCAACAACAAATGACCAAAGTTATTACAATCAATTTTGTGTATGATTATAAATACTCTAATTTTTCCCCCAGTATGGGGGGATTGAATCCAGGACCTCTCACATGCTAGGCAAGTGGCTCTATCACCGGGAGATACTTTCCCAGCTCTTTTTACCTTTTATTTTGAGACAGGGTCATGATATGTTGCCAGGCTATCCCTGAACTTAAGACCCTCCTGCTTCAGCCTTCTAAGTAGCTGGGTTTACAAGTGTAAATTCTTGGAGTAAACAGAACAACCAAGCATAAATATCTGTTCATAGTTCAGAGTTCTCTCCTTAATAACACCTGTAATCACAGTAGTTTGGAATGTTCAGGGAGACGGATCGCAAGTTAGAGGCCAACTTTGTGAGATACTGCCTTAAAATAAAGAATTAAAAGCACTAGTTTGTAGCTCAATGGTGAAGTACCTCTGGGTTCAATTCCTAGTATAAAACAAACTGGCTTCTGCTTTTTTTTTTTTTTGACAATATTATAACCAATATAGTAATGTTTCTATGTCTTTTTAATTCATGGCATCTATAAAGTGCTTATAGTCATTTTGATAGCACAACAGATAGAATTTTGATTATATAAAAATATAAAAATCTGCCTGAATAAGAAGGCAAAATATTTGCAACAAATTTCTACACTTGAACAAGGGTTTTAACGGGTTCTACTAATGTTAACAAATATGCAATCAAGTACTGCAATCAAGTAAACTTTAAAAAAAAAACTCTTAAAGAAAAATTGGTTTCTTCAATGTAGAATTTTCTTACAGACTTCTGATATCCTAACATACACAGTGATTCTCCAAGGAGAGGAAAGAAGACTAAAGAGGTTACCCCCCCCAAAAAAAAAAGAACCATCCCAATATGGAATGCATACTTCAATGATCATATTGAATGGGGAATATTTCTATGGAAATCCTCCAAATTATGAGAACTTTACTTTAAAAAGAAAGACATTATATACTAATCAGTCAGTTTCCCTCAACTTGAAATGCTGATGCTTTCCAAATATAAACTCACAATGTAAAACCAAGTTTGAATATAAAAAATGTTGCCTTAGGCACAATCATGAAATGAAGATATACTGAATTAATATAAAGGTCAACAGTTTTAAAAATATTTTTTTAGTCGTAGATGGACACAATATCTTTATTTTTATTTATTTATTTTTATGTGGTGCTGAGGATGAACCCAGGGCCTCATGCATGTGAGGCAAATGCTTTACCATTGAGCTACAACCCCAGACCAAGATCAACATTTTTAAGTTATCAAAAAATATAAAAATAAATGTTAATAACATGGATAATAGGCTCATAAGCCCATATGACCCTTTAGTAAGTAGTTCTGACAGTTTGATATCTTTATTTTTACTTGTTTTAACTGTCATCGGTTTAGTCACTTGTCAGTGACTGTTTTTCTTTTTTCCTTCTCTGTTGATGTTTCCCTGTTCCCAACCCCTGCCCTCACTTAATGAATACATCTATTTATTTTAGTAAATAAACGCATTATTTTGGTGCAGCAAACCTTATCTCCAGTGGTGGCATTAATACTAGATACCATTTATTGCTTTATATGATTTTAACCTATATTATACTGCCTCACTGAAACTGAGAAAATTAGAAACAGTCAATTCTTCATAAAATGAAAAGCACCAACCACCAACAGTTTCACGACCACAATCTGTTTAGCAATGTTAAACCACATTTTAATCTTCAGTTTCTGATTATTCTCATCAATGCAATAGTTCAGACAGCTGAGGATGAGAGGTTGTCAACAAAGTACTGCTATAACTGTTTAACAATTAGTGATTTAGCAAGACACTGTCTCAAAATAAAAATAAAGGTCTGGGGTTGTAGCTCCATTTGCCTAGCACATGAAAGGGTTCTATCCTCAGCGCATTAAAAAAAAAGGATATTGTGCCATCTACAACTAAAATTATTTAAAAATAAATAGGTAAAAGAGCCGGGAATGTGGCTCAGTGGTAGAGGTCTCTGGGTTCAATTTCTAGTACCACAAAATAAATTGAAAAAGCAAGCTATGTATTTCCAATAACATCCTAAAAAGCTCATTCATTCTAAACTAGTCCAGCTTCTAAATCATATCTTTGACGAAGATCAGTTCATGAGGGCTGCCAAGTACCAATTTCTTATGGAATATTCAGACTGATAGCTAAAAACAACAGAATCTACCAGAGCAGAAGAATGACTGTTTAATTCAACTGAGGAGTAGTATGCATACTACCATGAAACCAATATATGTGCCTTAAACCATCCTGGCTCTAAGAACCAGAGCTTACAACTCCAGAATCAAACCTTAATTTCTCAAGGTAGAACAAAAACATCTTTGGTGTTCTGGAAATTAACACTTCAAATAAAATATTTAAGTTACCCAGAAACCTTGACTCAGAGTGAAATAAAATAATCAGCACAAAATCTGATAGAGTTGACGTTTAATTTATGCTAAACTTTTTTTTTGGAAGAATATTTAAATATTTTCTTCTAAAGATACATTTTTGTTTGTTTGTACTGAGGATTGAACTGAGGGATACTCAATCACCACGCCACATCCTCAGTCCTATTTTGTATTTTGAGATAGCATCTCACTGAGTTGCTTAGCGCCTCATCAGGCTGGCTTTGAACTTGGATCCTCCTGAGCCACTGGGATTATAGGTGTGCACCATTGCACCATTGCACCGGCTAAATATTTTTTTCTTTTTTTTACTTTCTATATTTTGCTAGGCTACTGTTAAAATCTGGATTTAGAATGCTTTCCAAAGGCTCCAATGTTGAAGGCTTGGTCCCCAAGCTGCCACAAAGTGAACAGCTTTGCTCTACCACACCCTTCTGGCCATGGTGTTTTGCCTCAACACAGGCCCAGAAACAATAGAACCAATTAAGTGACCATGGACTTAAACCTCTGAAACTGTGAACCAAAATAAATCTCTTTTGCTCTTTCTCAGATATTCTGTCACAGTGACAGAAAGATGATTAATACAGCCATCTACAGAGATTTTGGTAAACATCAATAAATAATTTACTCAAGCAAATAAAATGTCAAAAAAATCACAAAATATGCTACGGAGTAGAAAATGTAGATGCGTACAGACAGGGAGTGTTACACAACAAGCCTTAAATAATAAGTATGCAAAATAAAATGACAGACAGTACTGTCCTCAGAAAGAAAAATATTGGTTTGACCTACAAATTGAACTGCAAATCTATCACAAGAGACAAGAATTAGATGTGAGTATACTAGGGTATTATTTGTTCAAAATGTAGGCAAAATGAAAACCTAAAAAAGTATAAATTAGGTGCTAGAGGGGTATACTGTGGTCTGAATGTTTGTGTCTCTCCAAAATCCAAGTTGAAATCTCCGACGTGTTGGTATAAAAAGAGGTGGGACACCTTTGGGAGGTCACTAGGTCACGAGGGTGCAGTCTATATGAGTTGGATTAGTGCCCTATGAAAGTGGCCTGCAGAAACTTCTTTGTCCCTTTCCCCAGGTAAGGACACAGCTAGAAGGTGCTGCCTATGTGGAACAGGCCTTCACCGACACCAAATCTGCCATGTCTTGAACTTGTACTTTCCAGCCTCCATAAGAGTCAGGAATAAATTTCCGTTTTTTATGAATTACCTAGTCTAAGGTATTTTGTTATAACAGTCCAATAGAACATATTTAATTGGAAAACTCAATTTCTGGTTTCAAAAAGTATATATGTAACTTTAGATGATAATAATCTATATCTTAATATTTTCATAATTAAACATCAACCTCACATTGATATTTATTTATTCATTCATTTATTTGGCACTAGGGACTGAACCCAAGGATGCTTTACCTCTGAGCTGCTACATCCCCAGCCCTTTTTATTTATTCATTTATTTTTTTGGTACCAGAGATTGAACTAAGGGACACTTGACCACTGAGCCACATCCCCAACCCTATTTTCTATTTTATTTAGAGACAGGGTCTCACTTTGCTTAGCACCTCGCTTTTTACTGAGGCTGGCTTTGAACTGTGATCTTCCTGTCTCAGCCTCCCAAACCGCTAGGAAAACAGGCGTGAGCCACTATGCCCAGCCCAGCCCTTTTTATTTTGAGACAGGGTCTCATTCAGTTGCTGAAGTTGGCATTAAACTTGCAATCCTCTTGCCTTAGATTCCCGAGTCACTCAGATTATGTAT